GCCTGCTTCTGCCAGTCACCCTGCTGGCCGCCTGCTGCTGTTCCTACCAACCACCTGCTGGCCACTTGCTCTTTGTCGGTTTCCTTAGTGATTTCAGCTCTTGACCCAACACCTAGGCTAGCCCACCTGCTGGCCACTTGCTCTTTGTCGGTTTCCTTAGTGATTTCAGCTCTTGAACCAACACTTAGGCTAGCCAAAAGATTCCAGCCCCCACTGGAATAATAGTGCAAAATAACAGGGGGTATGTCTACACTACCCCGCTAGTTCGAACTAGCGGGGTAATGTAGGCATACCTCACTTGCAAATGAAGCCCGGGATTTGAATTTCCCGGGCTTCATTTGCATAAGCGGGGAGCCGCCATTTTTAAAACCCCGCTGGTTCGAACCCCACACGAGCTACACGGGGCTCGAACTAGGCTTCCTAGTCCGAACTACCGGTACACCTCGTTCCCTCTGAGATTCTTCATGATGACAGTGTCTCTCCTGACAGCACTGGGAGTCGTATTTTACAATTCCTACATTTAGGGTTAACATGGTTTGTGACCCCCACAACGGTGAAATACAAAACATTCCATTCCAACAATTGACCATCCATCAGGCCTACAGCATTGACTGAACTGGATGTATATAACCACACCCTGTATTCCTTCCCCATTACAGCATGAGCGGTATTTACATATCAACAGTTGCTTATCTTGCAGGGCTAAACTACTGAATGAGCATAACCACACCTACGACTGCTCTCCCCTTTCAGCTGGCTGCATTGGAAGCAGTGGTTCAGACCCTGGTTCAGATGAGAAATATGGGGGTTTCACTAAGATCAACATACTTCACTGACTACAGTGAAAGACTCTGCCTCACACTATCCAAGAAATTAAGAAACCACCTGATAAGTATTTTATACAAGAAACAGAAAACCATCAAGAATGACATTTCTAACTTAGATCGTCTCATCTCAAGACAAACATCCACACCGACTGACACCTTGCAAGACTTTTGTTCCACCAGACAAGAAATCTACTATACACACTTCTATTCCCTACAACAAAGAAAAGACAATAAATTTTCTAACCTGCTCCATACCACTGGCTACAACAGCAACTGCCTCAACCCACCGGATAATATTGTTAACCTCTCCAGCTACAAACTCAATCCAGCAGAAGAGTCTGTCTTGTCCCGGGGTCTCTCTTTCTGCCCCACGTCCCCCACAAACTGGATACAATTTTGTGGTGACCTTGAGGCTTTTTTTCGCCGCCTCCGTCTCCGAGAATATTTCCAAACCACCACTGAACATCAATCTGACCTACCAGATCCCCCCTACCAACACCAAAGGAAAAATAATTCTATATGGACTCCCCCTGACGGTCGGAATTACAATCTGGATTTCTATATACACAGCTTCCGCAACAACGCACAGACTGACATTATTCGCAAACGACAACAAGCGACACACAATCTTAGCCGCGCTGAACACCATGCCATCCAGAGTCTCAAAAACAACCTGGACATTGTAATCAAACCAGCTGACAAAGGGGGTGCTGTGGTCATTATGAATAAGGCCGACTATAACCAGGAGGCAACCAGACAACTCTCGAACACCACATTTTACAAACCTCTCCCCTCTGATCCCACCTTGGACTACCAAAAGAAACTACACTGTCTCCTTAAAAGCCTCCCCACAGCTACTCGGGAACAAATCCTCACAGAATCACCTTCTGACCCCCGACCAGGATTGTTCTATCTACTTCCCAAGATCCATAAACCTGGGCACCCCGGACGTCCCATCATCTCTGGTATTGGCACGCTCACTACTGGTCTATCCAGCTATGTAGACACTCTTCTCAAACCCTTCGTAACCAATACCCCCAGCTATCTCCGAGACACTACTGACTTCCTAAGGAAACTACAAAACATCGATAACCTCCCCAATAATACCATCCTTGCCACCATGGATGTAGAAGCTCTATATACCAACATCCCACATGAAGACGGATTACAAGCAATTAGAAACACTATCCCAGAGGACACTACTGCCAACCTGATAGCAGACCTATGTAACTTTGTTCTCACCCACAATTATTTCCGGTTTGAGAACAACTTATACCTCCAGATCAGCGGCACAGCCATGGGTACACGCATGGCCCCACAGTATGCTAACATCTTTATGGCTGACCTAGAACAACGTTTCCTCAACTCCCGTCCCCTTTCACCCCTCCTCTACCTACGGTACATCGATGACATCTTTATGATCTGGACACATGGCCAAGAAACACTGGAGATATTCCACAGAGATTTCAACAACCTACACCCCACCATCAACCTCAGCCTGGACCATTCTACACGAGAGATCCACTTCCTGGACACCACCGTACAAATCAACAATGGAAAATTAGACACCACTCTCTACAGAAAACCCACTGACTCATACAGTTACCTACATGCATCCAGCTCCCATCCAGAACACACCACACGATCCATCGTCTATAGCCAAGCCCTTCGATACAACCGCATCTGCTCTAACCCCACTGACAGAGACCAGAAGCTTCAGGATCTCTACCAAGCATTTATAAATCTCAACTACCCACCCAGAGAAACAAAAAAGCAAATTGAAAGAGCCAGACGAATACCTAGAAACCATCTACTTCAAGACAGACCCAAGAAAACCAACAATAGAACACCACTTGTCATCACCTACAACCCCCAACTTAAACCTGTCCAACACATTATCAATAAACTACAGCCTATATTGGAACAGGATACCATACTCAAAGAGGCTCTGGGAGACAGACCCATAGTCTCCTATAGACAACCACCTAACCTCAAGATGATTCTTACCAACCACCACAGGACATACCACACTAATACCAACCCTGGTACCTTCCCTTGCAACAAACCCCGTTGCCAGCTTTGTCCACATATTCATTCTGCTGATACCATTATTGGACCTAACCAAGTGAGTTATAAGATCAAGAACACATATTCCTGCGCATCCAGAAATATAATCTACGCTATCATGTGCCGAAAGTGTCCGTCTGCTATGTACATTGGACAAACATCTCAGACACTTCGCCAAAGGATTAATGCCCACAAAACAGATATCAGACAAGATCACAAAGAGAAAACAGTTTCTTGCCACTTTAACCAGAAAGGACACTCTCTAAATGACTTAGCCACCTGCATTCTGCTACAAAGACCTTTTACATCTGCACTTGAAAGGGAATCCTCTGAACTGTCATTCATGTTAAAATTCGACACTTACCACCAGGGACTTAACAAGTCTTTGAACTTTCTCACCCATTATCAAGACAGTTTCCCCAATTATCACCTGTAATACCATTAACTCACAAACATCCCACTCTCCCTACCTCTAATATCATCAATTCACAGACACTTACCTTCCTTCCTCCCCCTCCCCCACCCCGCATCTCCCTTCTGTTCTGCAATGTGATTTGTCCTTTTCATATTTGTTCTTTTTTTTAATTGTATCCTTTGGTATATATGGTTTTGACTATTTTCTTCCACTATTTGATCTGAGGAAGTGGGTCTGGCCCACGAAAGCTCATCATCTAATAAACCATCTTGTTAGTCTTTAAAGTGCTACATTGTCCTGCATTTTGCTTCAACTACCCCAGACTAACACGGCTACATTTCTATCTCTATATACAAGGATGATACATGCACCAAAATGGGCCATACAGATCCAGCAGATTGTAACATTGAAGGAATTTTGTCCAAAGAAATGTTTCTCAACCAGTGGTATGAGTACTCTTAGGAGTACTCAAGAAAAGTCTGGGGTGTACGTCAACACGCTGAAATTTGGAGAAAACTGAATTTTTGTTTTAAGTTTTAGTGTTTTATTATTTTTGTACTTTTTACACCCAAATATTTCAGCACCCGCCCGGCTACAATTCAGTTCTTTAAACAAATGTGTTGCAATGATAGAAAAAAAATGTGTGTCTGAAAATTGTAGGTAGTGCGGGTACTTATAATTTTTTGAAAAAAAAGGCATACTTTATTTAAAAAAATTGAGAAACATGGGTCCAAAGCACCTCCATATGCCAATTTTTACAAAGAATGGAGCTGGGGGGAACCATCACAGATAAGTTCCAATTCTGTGGGGGTTTCTGCATTGAGCACAGCAGAACTAACATGAGCTATTGCTTGCCTGCTTCATCCTAGGCACCTCCCAAGCCCTTCAGCATAGTGAAAACGTTAAAACACAATTCTTATGCATGGATGCTGTACATATTTAGATAGAGAAATGACTTTCAACAGATCATAACCTTTCCCTGATACATCAGATGGCTTGCTTTATTTGCAATAGCACAATTATCTACAGATGAGGAATATGGCAGTCACTGGTTGCTCCCCCAGGTATAGTGTGTCACAGAGGTGATTTCATCAGAGGCAGATGGTGGGGGTACGAAAGAACACGTACACACTTGAATGTGAGTCTGCAAGTGATTCTGCTTCATGATTCCTCATATGAGGCTTCAGATATATGCGCAACACTTTCTACCGTGCTTTGCCAGGTCCTCACACTGTTGTGTATCTCCTTCCACCCACACCGGCTGCGTCTAGACTGGCATGCGTTTGAGAAAATACTTTCAATGGAAAAGTTTTTCTGTTAAAAGTATTTGCGCAAGAAAGCGTCTATACTGGCACGTGCCTTTGCTCAAAAGGTTTGCTTTTGCGCAAAAGCATCTGTGCCAGTGTAGACGCTCTCTTGCGCAAGAAAGCTCCGATGGTCATTTTAGCCATAGAGCTTTCTTACGCAAGATATTAACGTTGCTGTCTACACTGGCTCTCTTGTGCAAGAATACTTGCACAAGAGGGCTTATCCCTGAGCTGGAGCGTCAGAGTACTTGCGCAAGAATCACTGATTGCGTACATTACAAATTCAGTGTTCTTGTGCAAATACTCACGGCCAGTGTAGACAGGTGGCAAGATTTTGTGCAAAATCATGCCAGTCTGGATGCAGCCACCATGTTTAGTTATCGCTAATCACTAAGCTGTTATTTCTGTTTCTTGCAGTCCAAGCCCAGCCATGCCACTCAACGAGCACATGAACAGTCCAGCCTGCCGGCATCTCTTCATCTTTATTCTCTCGCAATTTGTAATGGCCTTCTGCTTGTTTGCCTACATTCGGATCTCCAAGGACCCAGGCCCAGGGCCCCAGGCTGGCCAACCCTCTGCTCTGATCGCCCAGCCTGCAAACAACCCCACAACTCCACAGCCTGCTTCAGAGCTCACCATCCTGCTGTGGACCTGGCCTTTTCACCAACGTGTTGAGCTGAGAAAATGCTCCGAGCTCTTAGGCATCCCGGATTGTCACATCACAGCCAACCGCAGCTGGTACCTCAAGGCTGATGCTGTGATCGTACATCACTGGGATGCGAATTCTAGCCCAAAGGCACTGCCCCAGGACCCAAGGCCTCGCTCCCAGCGCTGGATCTGGTTCAGCTTGGAGTCCCCCAGCCTGAGTCCTCACCTGGGCATCATGGATAACCTCTTCAACCTGACCATGTCTTACCGAAGGGACTCTGATATCTTCACCCCCTACGGGGGGCTGGAGGTCCTCAGCCAGCCCCAGAACTTCAGCATCCCTGCCAAGTCCAAGCTGGTGGCCTGGGCGGTGAGTAACTGGAACCCAGCTTCCCGCCGGGTGCAGTACTATGAGGAGCTGAAGAAGTACATCCACGTGGATATATATGGCAG